TAAAACGGTAATTTGACCCAACTTGAGTTACAAACACTCGTGAAGGATTGACTCGTCATTAATGGTCGTATATCCATGGACACGAAAACATTCTGCAGTGAGAAGAGTGCAACTGCGGGTCTTTAGTGGAATGACCCGTAGTTAACGAATATAGATTAACTCGGTCAATGAGTTTGACCGATTAATCTTGCATTGTTGGAGCTTCGGATCTGTAGGTCCATTAGGTCCCCTTGCTAGCTCATAACGGGTAAAACGAGAATCAAATATTTGGAAGAATTTGAATGGTTCAAATTACTTAACGGATTATATGTATATTGATACATTATAATATATAGTTAATTGTAAATTAAAACTATATATTATGAGAGAAATTATTTGAATGAGATTCAAATAAAATTAATATGAATGAGATTCATATTAAAACTATAGGTTAAATACAATGTGCATAAGATGTTCATTAAAACTATAGGTCATACGAGAGAAATGTTTTAGAATATGATTCTAATTTTGTAATAAATAATTAAGTGTTAATTATTTATGTTTATATATATTTTTTAATTATTAATTGGATTAATAATTAATTATATTAATTAATTTGATTAATTAATTTTATATATATATTAATTATTATATATATATATATTATTATATATATATTTTAATTATTATTATTATATGTATTATATATATATTAATATTAATATTAATATTAATATTAATAATATTAATAATATTATTATTAATATTAACTCCCCTGCAAAATTGCAGGGGAGTGGGAGGTGTTGTGACGTGGGGAGTTCTTCTTCTTCTCCAAGTATTGGAGAAGCAGAAGAGGAAGGTCACACAGAACAAAAAAAAAGTATCTCCCAACGATTTCTCTCAAAATTCTCTCAATTTCTCCATCTCTTCGATCAAGGTGCTACCACAAGCACGATCCCGAGACCCAAGAGGATAGCGAGGAAGATCCGGTGGTGGTGTTCGAGGGGAATTCACTGAAGAAACGTTCTTCAAAGGTTTACCCTGTATTTTCTTCTTCAAAACTCGATTTTGTATCCCGAAAATCAGCAACGAAAATCCGTTTCCGCTCCGGGATTGACATCCCTTCAATTGGTATCACACCTATCATAATTGAACCAGATTGGAACTTGCCATTTGAACTAATGTATGATGCAAGTGATTTTGCTGTAGGTGTGATGTTGGGTCAACGAAAAGGTAAAGTTCTTCATCCTGTTTATTATGTAAGTAAAACTTTGAATAGTAGTCAGTTGAACTATAGTGTGACTGAGACAGAACTTTTGGCTATTGTTATCGCTTTTGATAAGTTCCGTTCATATTTGATTGGGACTAAGGTGATAGTGTTTACTGATCATTCTGCACTTAAATACTTGTTTGCTAAAAAAGAAGCTAAGTCTAGGTTGATTAGATGGATCTTGTTGCTACAAGAGTTTGACTTATAGATAAAAGATAGAAAAGGAATAGAAAACCAAGTAGCGGATCATCTATCTAGGCTAGAGTCTTCTTTGCAGCATGATAGTTGTGAGATTGAAGAGCATTTTGTGGATGGGTATCTTTTAGCTATTTCTGAAGTCCCTTAGTATGTTGATTATGTGAACTATCTGGTTAGCAAAATAATTCCTAATGATTTGAGTAAGCACCAGATAAAGAACTTCTTTCATGATGTTAGGTTTTATAGATGTAATGAACCTTTCTTGTTTAAACTAGGACCTAACAATATTCTTCGCAGGTGTGTTGCTGAGCATGAACAGAAGGAGCTTCTAGAGGCATGCCACAAATCACCATATGGTGGGCATTTTGCTGGATGTAAGACTACAGCAAAGGTCTTCAAAAGTGACCGTTGTCAAAGATTAGGTAACTTGACAAGGAAACATGAGATGCCCTTAAACCCAATATTGGAAGTTGAACTTTTCGATGTTTGGGGCATCGACTTCATGGGTCCGTTCCCACCTTCATTCGGTAAGAATTACATTCTCTTGGCTGTTGATTATGTCTCGAAATGGGTTGATGCTTTGGCCACCATTACTAACGATGCCAAGGTAGTTTATCTCTTTTCGCAAAAGTTTATCTTCACTAGATATGGTACACCTAGATTGTAACGCCCCGAGTCCCTCAGGTTAGTTAGTCTCGAATCAGGAGATTTTTCATTTAATTTCTAAACTAATTGTTAATTAAATTTATACATATTTATCGGGCTCTAAACTCCAATTAAATTTATATTTACCGGACTTCGGGTAGTGGGTCTTGTTTTAAGATGGAATGGATTTCTTTTCTCTTGGGCTTGGACTTGTTGGGCCTTTATTGGGTTTAGTTGGTTTTAAAACAAAGGAAAAGAGGAAAAAGAAAACAAAACTTCACCTTCTTCTTCTCTCCTCCCTTGTTGCCCTAGCTGTCACCCACCTCTCTTCTTCTTCTTGTTCACCGGCG